CAAGCATACACGTAGTTAAGCACTCTTATCGGATAAGAGGTGTTCTTGAGATTGTTGAGCATAGATACTCACCCTTGTTTACTTTCCTTCTATGTGAGAATGGCTTTATTGGCATGTGAGTCGTCAGTGCGGTTATGAAGTGTTATGAGGGCACAGGATACCAAGTGTTAGGGTTCAGGTATTGAGTCCCGTGAGTTATAATTCGTCCGACGTTCGGTACCTCGTGGAGTTTGATGACTAAAATCTGATGTAAAATCGGTTGTGGTTACTGAGTTATTACTTGTCCTTGTTATATTTGTGATTCGGGATTTAAGTTGTGTTCCATTCACTTTTCTGTGTCATTTTTATAGTATTCTGCTGATACTTGTTGTTCCTTTCTTATTGTCATTACTGTATTGTGAGCCATATTGCATAGTTTTTATATAGATATCATATTTCTGTTGTTCATATACTTATACTTGTTCAGTTTATTAGACCAGTGGGTGTCTTGATTATTGCTCGTCACTACTCCATCGAGGTTAGTCTTGATACTTATTGGGCACCGCTGTGGTATGCTCATTCTATTCTTCTGCATATTTTTGTGCAGATTCAGGTATTTGTTTGTTAGTAGTTGTGCGGGTCGTTGCTGTGGAGACTCAAGGTAAACCTGCTACTGCGTTCGCAGGCTTCGGAGTCACCTTCAAGTTTTTGTTTTGCACTGTTTATTCTTATTTCTAGACAATTATATTTAGAAGTTTTCTAGCAAACACTCTGTAGAACTTACGACTTGTATTACCGGTTTTGGGAATTGTAAGAGATTTCTATTTAAATAATGTTGTTGTTTCAATTAATGTTAGGCTTACCTAGTCCCTAAGACTAGGTGCCATCACGATATCCAAACGGAGGAAAAATTGGGTCGTGACAAAATATAAGTCAATGGATCTCTTTATTATACTCCAAACTCAATACGCTTACTATGATCTAAATTTGTTTTTTTTTCTTTTCAAACAACGTCAACAAGAATGGCGAATCCTAAGATGCTTTTCAAAATGAAACAAGCAGATTCTTAGAGCTTCTATGTATTTGAGGAGAAAAGAAGGAGCAAGCTTACCGGACAGGGATTGTAGAGAGAATTGATCGACGGTGATAGGACAACAGGGCCTGCGAGATCCGAAAAACCCGGAGGATGGAGCTGCAGAAACTTTGAGCCTTTGACTGAAGAAATAGAGAGCCAGCTACCAATGAAAAAAGTGAAAGAAACTTCGAAAGAAGCAGCGAGAGATATAAGAAAGATAGTTTCTTAATTTCAACATTATAAAAAGTAAAAGCAACCACTGGAATATTACAGAATGATCTAAAGAGGGTTAGCTTATTCAATTCTTAATTTCAACATTGTAAAAAGTAAAAAGCCATGCAGGCTTATTTCCTCAGTAGTATATGTAGAGGATAAAATTAGAGAGTGTAGTCCGAGATAGTTTATTCTTGTCCTACGTAAACCTTCTGTGAACCGATTCAAAGGTGTGGCAATACTGTGATTCAAGGTGTTAAACTAGACGAGGAGTTATCCCAAAAGACCTACAATCTCCTGGTACACTTACATTAGGTGCATCGAAACTAGTTGCATTGCACCTACACTTACAAAGCAAAGAACATAATACAATGAAAGTAAAGTATCCATGTAGGGGATAGAAACTTAGGATTACAGTTTTAGTCATTGTTGGTACACTTATTCTTCTGTAGATGTGCAGTCACCACATCTTTAGGAGCACATTTTTCTGCCTAACTCAATAACTATACAGCAACAACATACCTATTATTATCCCACACTGTGGGGTCTGGGGAGGATAGTGTGTACGCAAACCTTACTCCTACCTTGTGAGGATAGAGAGGTTGTTTTCAATAGACCCTCGACTCAGGAAAGTATAAGCACCACATTAATAAAAATATAGTCAAGAAGAGACAGTATCAAAAAGCCATATAAAAACCTAAGTTGCTCTGACACGGGTGCAGATCTAGAGGCCGGATCCTTTGAGATGAAAATTTTTAGATTCGGGGATACGGATCCTAGAACCGACACGGGTGCGGGGATCCGGCTAAAAATAATTCAAAAATAAAAATATCTCTATATTATGAGAAATTGTATGGAATACTTACCTATAACTTGTAAAGTGTGAATTTTTATTCTCAAGTTGTAGGCGCGATTTCTTGATTTTCTTCCATTCTCATATTCTCCTACAAGTTACACAAAGTATATTAAAACATAATAAATATCATATAATTACATAAGTAAAAGAGTTGAATATATAAAGATAAAGAAAACTGAAAACATACCTTTTAGGCTTTTATTATTTTTGTCGAAGAACATGATCTTGACAAGAACATAGAGAATAAAAAAATGTAAGTATCATTTAGCAATTATCATTTCTCTCATAAGTCACAAATTATGAAGAGTTAGTCATTCTCATTAAGTCAATCAAAATAAGTATGAACACCAAAAAGGAAAAAATAAACTACAAGTCTACAATTGCAATCACCATTCGAGCATTCCCATATAAAGTTACATTAACATTGAACTATATAAACTAACAAAAAGTAGGAGAGGATAACTACTAAGTTTTAACAATTGAACAATAACATTTAGCATTCTTCCTCAATATTTTCAAGATCAATTTCTTGCACATCTTCAATCTCCTCTTCAAAAATGACTCCTTCTAGTTGAGGTTCATCGATTGATAAGTCAAGTAGATCATTGGTGGCTTCATCAACATCAAAACGGTCTCCACCTAAAGCAAAATTAAAATAAAAATGATTTTTAAAAAAAAAATACTAAAGGAAATATAAATTCAAGTCAGATGATCCTTAATATAAAGTCATTTGTGGGATTTGGAAAGCCTAAGTGATCTGATCCTTTAAACCACTTGGCATATGCTGATGATACGATAATCTTTGCATCTGCTCATCCTCCCTCTTTGAGCAAGATTATGGCACTGTTGGGGAACTATGAGAAGATATCAGGTCAGGTGATCAACTAAGATAAGAGTTCATACTACATGCATTCAAAGGTTGCTAATGGATTGTTTCAGGCAGTTGGAGCTATTACAGGATTTGCAAGAGATAAATTCCCCTTCACATATCTAGGGTGTCCTATTTTTTATACTTGAAGGAGGAAGGACTATTATGAGGATCTTATCAAGATGGTGAAGACTAAATTACATTCATGGAAAGGAAAGTTGATGTCATTTGGAGGAAAGGCAACACCCATCTCTAGTGTGTTGTAAAGTATACCAGTTCACATGTTATCAGTCCTTGATCCACAAAACAGCATCCTGGGGCATCTACATAAGACTTTTTCTAGGTTCTTTTGGAGCAAAAAGAAAGAAGGGAGAAGCAGACACTTGGCTTCATGGAAATATCTTTGCCTTCCTAAAGAGGAATGGGGGCTAGGTTTTAGGTCCTTAAATGATGTCTCAAGGGCACTGTTTGCTAAACTATAGTGGAGGTTTAGGACCACAAAATCTTTGTGGTCTAATTTCATGTGGAATAAGTATTTCAAGAAGGACCTACCAACAATGGTGCATTTTAGGGGAGGGTATCATGTTTGGAAACAAATGCTGAATGCTAGGGAAGAAGTAGAACATGAGATCGTATGAGAATTGAAGAGTGGAACAACTAATATTTGGCATAAAAATTGGACTGGATTGGGTGCACTTTATCACGTATTACCTGGAGACTTTCCAATCAATAAAGGTCTTCAGGAGGTGGCAGAACAACGGCAAAGGGAAGCATGGGATGATCAGCTGCTAAATCAAACTTTCAATGAGGAAATTGCAGAACATATAAGGCTAAATGTACACTATGAAGGGAGTGAGGGATATTGGGATAGGCCATACTGGATTCCAACTCCTTCAGGCAAGTTCAGTGTTAGTAGTGCTTGGCAAATATTAAGGCATAGGGCTGATCCTAATCAGGAATTCAAGTTAATGTGGATTAAAGGTTTGCCATTCAAGATATCCTTCTTCTTGTGGAGATTGTGGAGATTGTGGAGGCAGAAAATAGACACCGATGACATGTGGAGGAGGCAAGGGCAAATGGTGATGTCTAGGTGTTGGTGTTGTCAGCAGCCCCAAGAGGAATCCATTGAGCATATATTTGTCACAAGTCCTACTGCCTCGAAGGTATGGAACTTGTTCATGGGGGCTGCTGGAATTTTTGTGCAATTGATTCAATTGAAATAGATTATAAGGCATTGGTGGTATGCTCAGTGTTGTCCAAAATTAAAGCCACTATTTCAAGTAGTACCAGCTATCATCACTTGGGAGCTTTGGAGGAGAAGAAATACAGGAAAACATGGTGGTTCAGTATCCACAAATAGGGTGATCCATGAGATAAATAGGATATTGCATCAACTGGCAAGGGTGAGGTATGCTTGGATCCCTAATATTCCATTGTTATGGCCAGACATGATTCAATACTTTGAAGGATATAAACCTATATTGATCACTACAAGAGTAATATGGCAACTTCCTTTTCATGGTTGGTACAAATATAATACTGATGGAGCTTCAAAGGGCAATCCTGGACCTAGCTCCCTAGGCTTTTGTGTGAGGGATGATAAAGGTGATGTGGTGTATGCTAGGGCAGTAGACCTGAGAATGACAACTAATGTGGTGGCTGAATCTAAGGCTATTCTTCAAGGGTTAGAATATTGTGTGGAGCATGATCTTCACCCTCTCATACTGGAGACTCATTCATTGGTGATGAAGAAGGCGATAGAAGGGGAATGGGATCCTCCTTGGGTAATTGCACAGGATGTAAAGAAAATTATAGAGATGAAGGACAACTTCAATATGATCTTTCAACATATGTTCAAAGAAGGCAACTCAGTGGCAGATTTTATAGCTAACATTGTGTTCTCTTTTGCAGGTACATCTGAGTTACATTCATTCTCTGAACTGCCTAGTACAGGAAGGAGGTTGATCAATCTAGACAAATTTCAATCACCTAACATTAGGGTTAGGATATCAAAGAGAAGAACCCCAGACTGATGGCTTCACGGGATTGGACTCTTTCCTGGCTTTTGCCTTGCAAAGCCAGCCTAAAGCCAGATCATGCCTGGCTTTTGCCTTGTAAAGCCTGGCTAAAGCCAGCTCATGCTTGGCTTTTGCCTTGTAAAGCCTGCCTAAAGCCAGCTCTAGCCTGGCTTTTGCCCTGAAAAGCCTGCCTAAAGCCAGCTCAAGCCTGGCTTTTGCCTTGCAAAGCATGCCTAAAGCCAGCTCATGCCTGGCCTTTATCTTGCAAAGCCTGCCTAAAGCCAGCTCATGCCTGGTTTTTGCCTGCCTAAAGCCAGACTCCTCTTCTACACATTAATTTTGATGAGCGAGCACGTGATTAATACTTGAACAAAATCAGTCCACTGCATATGGAGATCATATAGTAGCTACTCTTGGAAGACTATGCTGGCTTCAACTCTGTGGTGGAGATATTTGGAATTTATTTTAGCCTATGGATAATATACCCCGGCGCCTGGTGAGAGCTTGATAAGTACTGCTTGGTATTTGCCAATGACAAATGGATTCACATACACTAATAGGAGAAGGAAGTATTCAACTTATCATATTGTAATAGCTAGTTCATTAGATTCTATCTTTTAACAGTTAGTAGCTTCATGCAACTTCTATTTTGGTTTGGACATCTTGTAAGCTTTGGATCCATTTTGGAATTTTATTTATATATTAGCCACTAGGCAAGTGCTGCCGAGTGGTATAGTTGCTTAAAAAAATTCAAGAAAACATAAATTATAGACATACCCACATCCCAATACTTGCTTGGGCCACTTGTATATGTTTCTTTTTGACGAGAAAACAAGCAAAGATTGTAGTACATAAAAACTAGATCTTCGGCTCTAGAAGTTTCTAACTTGTTTCTTTTGATACTATGGATCAACGAATAGGTGCTCCAATTCCTTTCGCAACAAGAAGAAGAAGCCGGCTGTGAAAGCAATTTGTATGCCAAGCTTTGCAAAAGTAGAGCGTTTACACTATGGTTAGCCCACCAAGATAGAGGCTCCTCATACATCATAGCCTCAACCACATGAGTCTCGCTAAAGAAACCACTACCACTTGCGAATACTCCATACTCCAAAGACGCTTGTTTTAGATCATTTGAATCTTTAAAGTATCTTTGAAAGTATTTAACTCTATTTAAGGAAATCTCTCTATTCTCATTTGGAGCAAGCCTTCGAACCCCATTGCCTTCCCCTTTAAGCCATGATTCATGGTAGTATTTTGGTACCAAAGAATGTGCCATACAATGTAAAAGGGTGTTACTCTTATTCCACCTAACAACAAGAATTTCTTGAATTGTATAAAAAAAGTATGATTGCCCGACAATAAGATCATTTCCCTCTTGTTCAAAGATAATTGCTTTCACTTTTTCGATCATTGTATCCCACATATCATAAACAAGATGCAACTTTGGAGCATCAAGATCGGCACTTCTAAGCATAGACACAATTGGTTCGGTAAACTTTAAAAAGTACTCAATCTTATCCCACCATTCGTCATTCATTACAAGGGATTTAATTTCACGCGTTTTAGCTTCAATCACTTTATCTCCCTTATAGTTTCTCCAATCATCATCCATTACCATTCTTTCCAAAGATGCTTTCACTTGATGAACATGACTAGCCATGACAACATGAGATGCAAATCTCATTTCAGCAACTTTCAACAAAGACAACGCTGAATGCTTTTGAAAAAGAGCATGAGCCATATCATGATTCAACACAAAATTTTTCAAGCTACTAACTTCACCAATCAAATCTAAAATCCATTTGCAATTTATAAATTGAGTTGATTTTTCGGAAGGTTGGCACATGTTTTTTAGTGCAAGGTTCAAACTATGAACAACACATGGTGTCCAGAATATATGTGGATAAGTTTGCTCAACCGTAGAACCGACAAGCTTCATATTACTTGCATTATCGGTGATAACTTGAACAACATTACTTGCACCAACTTCCTCAATTGATTTAATGAACAAATTAGCTATATATTCTCCACCCTTCACAACGCCACTTGAATTGATTGATTTTAAAAATATTGGACCACCACTAGAAGCCGCCATTATGTTTATCAATGGTCGCCTCTTAATATCCGACCATCCATCGGAACAAATAGACAACCCTTTTCTCTTCCATGCATCCTTATAGGTTACAATTTTCTATCAATATGAGCTTTTTCTTGAGCTAAAAGGGTAGTTCTTAACCTATTGTACGTTGGCGGAATATAACCGGGTAAAAAAATCTTTGCCAAAAACTCTGAATACTTTCTAAAATAAGGAGACTTGGCAAAATTAAAAGATAAACCTGAAGCGTAGAACATGCGGGCTACCATTTTGTCGGCGATGTTTCTATTATCAATGCCGAATGACTTCTCTAGAGCTCCAATGTTTGAACCTTTTCTTTTTTTAAAATGCGATAAATCCGACCCTTCATGAAGTGATACGTAATCTGACTTTTTCCTCACATCAAGTTGTACAGATGCTTTTTTATTTTCAGCTTCTTCATGTTCTTGCTTCAAAGCTTCACAAACTTCTTTGCTTATCTCTTTATATATTTGAACACCTTGACCGGAGATTTTTAACAAATGAGCTTTGACTTTAGAATATGATCTCGTAACTCTTTTGTTACAATAGTTACATGACTATATTCTATTTTCACCACCATTTGGAGTAAGTGAAAGAACTTTGACATGGTTCCAAAGAGGTTTATCATCAAAGTCGGAGCCTACACTTTTTATTGGCCTTAACAAACCTTTCCCCTTTTGATTTGTTGTTGAAGAGGTAGAAGAAGACATTTTAAGAGCTAAAGAAAATGGTAAAGAAGAAGATGAAGATGCAACAAAATGGAATGGACTTTGGAGGCAGTAGGCGTTTGGAATGGTAAACAAGATGAAGGCAGCAGGCGTTTGGACTTTTGAAGGACTTTGTTTGGTGAGAAAATACTTTTGAAAGGAATTAGTAGCCTTGTGGGTCACTTTTGTACTTTTGGGGGGAAAACCAAAGGTGGGGGAAAAACCAACGGTGAGGGAACAACTAAAGAAACATTTATTAAATAGACTAATGCTAATGTGATTTATAGACTAACACATATAGACTAACGCATATACTAACATTGAATAGACATTTATTAATGTGATAAATATGATTTATTTAAGAATAATATCATCGTAGTGTCGTATGCCTTATTAATAGATAACTAAATAAATCTATATTTTAGCCCTAATCAAATATATAATTAAACTCTGTGCAATTCGTTATATCAAAACTTATACTAATGAAATGAAATAAATGCCATTAATGGTTAACTGGATATATCGTAATGTCATTAATGCCCTAAATATATCATAATATTTTATTAATGGTTAACTGGATAAAGTTAAGTTGTAGTCCCGAAGAAATATGTGATTAAACTTTGTGCAATTCGTTATATCAAAACTTATACTATTAAATGAGATTTTTACCCACTTGATTTTATCATTTTAATTTGAAAATGTTTTTAGTTTAATAGAAATATAATTATTAATCAAACTCCAAACCTCAAACCCCAAAATCATATAACCTTATGCATTGTTTACTTACATATGATAGTGTTTTATATCTTGTTATTGGTCAAATTAGTCAGATAAAGTCAATTGAACCTTTTTCCAACCAAAAATATATAATTAGATTTCAAATATTTCGATAGTTCATAACTTGTACTAATAGGAAGAATAAACAATCTATCAAGAAGAGTTTCCTACTCTAGTCAATTGATGTGATTTGTCGGAAAGCTATATAACCTAAACCATTAATAATTAATTATATTTCAAGTATTTCGATAGCTCAATATTAATTGGCGGTCCTAATAAAATATACTATAAGAATACAAATAATTCATATTCACTTTAACTAATATAAATGAAGTGTTCTTAAATGCTCTAATTCTTGATTTGGTTTCTAAAATTCGCGATTATTCTTCTTTGACATTTTTCTAAATTATTTTAGTTCATTCTCAAATCATGTAATTTATAATTACCCTTACAATATGTGTCACAACATAGCATATAATGGAGAACAAAGGGGTCAATTTTATTATGTACAATTTATAAATTTTTCTAGGCTTCGCGCGATCATATTCTGTCAAAACAATAATATACTAATTAATAGAGAAAAAATATTTATAAATAGTATTATTAGGTTAATTAATAGAATTTGCTTATTTAGAGTAAATACTTATTTGTAATATATATGAAGTTTACTCACATAAAAAAATGTGTGCTTTTAAAGCATAAAAAAAGAAAATTTAGTTTACAATTAAATAATTATTTATTATTTTGATTAAAACTCTAATTATTTTGGTACAACTAAAACTCTAATTTTTATAAACTTAAAACTTTTGAATATAATATTTGTAATATTTATCTCATAAACTAACGTGGAAAAATATTATAATATATATATCAATTAACAAACTAGTTCTCCTAATTAGTCCCTAGGTCTTCAGTCGTTCTTCTCTGCGCTGTTCTTCAGTCCTTCTAAATCATCTTCCCCAACAAAACTGTCTCCATGTCTCTGGTTTTTTCCAGTACAACACACCCATTCGAGCCCTTCCCAATATGCCTCAGTCCAGTAGTACACCCATCAACAACTTCTCTGCCCTAAAAAAAACAGAGAGCTCTTGATTTTAGAAACCTGCAGCATGGAAACTCAAAGATTGACCAAGACAAAAAGCTTCAAAGGAGACAAAAGGACTAGTATAAATTATTACATAGTAGCGAATTTGAAGCTATTTTGTTTCCCATCTCTTCAAATCTTTACTTAGGGAAATCAATTTCCCTAAATTTTTGGTCAACGCACCCGATCTAGTCTGACCGGATCCGACACAGATCCCACACCCTTACCCGTGTCAGTGTCGTGTCGACACCGGTACGGCACCGAAATTGCCGTGTCCGAGCAACTTAGATAAAAACAGAATAAAAATAACAAGACAGTAATATGATCAACAATTGAAAGAAAATAACGGTTAGTAATAAAAACCTACTACCAACAGAAAGCAAGAATGCATGCCAATTCTATTGTTATGAACACTCTAGACTACCTACTCTGCTACCCTAATCCTTGACCTTTATACCTTCCTATCAAGAGTCATGTCCTCGGTCAGCTGAAACTGCGTCATGTCTTGCCTAATCACCTCTCCCCACCTCTTCTTTGGCCTACCTCTACCTCTCCGTAGGCCTTCCACTGTCAATCTCTCACACCTCCTCACCGGGGCGTCTGTGCTCCTCGCATGACCAAGCCACCTAAGCCATGCTTCCCGCATCTTGTCCTCAATAAGGGCCACCCCCACCTTGTCGCGAATAACCTCATTTCTGATCCTATCTGCCCTAGTGTGACCGCACATCCATCTCAACGTCCTCATCTCTGCTACCTTCATCTTCTGGACATGGGCGATCTTGACTGGCCAACACTCAGCCCCATATAACATCGTTGGTCTGACCACCACTCTGTAGAACTTACCCTTAAGTTTCGGTGGCACCTTCTTGTCACACAAAACACCGGAAGCGAGTCTCCATTTCATCCATCCCTCCCCAATATGATGTGTGACATCTTCATCAATCTCCCCATCCCTTGAATAATAGACCCAAGGTACTTAAAACTCCCTCTCCTAGGGAGGACCTGCGATTCCAACCTCACTTCCCCTTCCCCTACTTGAGTTTCGCCACTGAACTTACAGTTTGTTTTAAATTGCTTCTTTTAAATAGAATTTAATAATTACTTCTTTTGAATATGATTGATTTGTTCTTTCTTCGGATTTATTAAGTACTAAGACTGCTGGGAGAGGTGGTTATCAGGGGGGCATACCTAGGATCTTACTTAAGCTTCACATCTTGCAGTATGAAGAAAGTCCTAGAGGACAAAGCTACAGTCTGTATCACGCTATCCAACTGTGCTGCTGAATTAAAGGAAGACTTCTATCCATGGATTCCCCAGGTTGGCATGAATGATCACTGACATGTTTTCATTTTCTCATGTGCTGTTGAGTGAAGTCAAATTAAACGAGTGACACCAATGGCTTAAAGCATCAAACAGGTTGTTTCAGTCTTGCTTCCGCTTTTGAAATTCTATTCCCACAATAATGTCAGGAAATATGCTGTTGGAGGTGAGAATTCTCGTGATTTCATACGTTTTCTAATTTTCTAATTTTCAGTTGCTGATGCAATTTTCTACTTTTTGTTGTTTAAGCCATGTATCCCCTGTTGCATTCTACTAAACTGGCTGTTGAGAATGGGATTGCGCAAGGTGAAAGCGAGTCATATTTCAAGGAGTTATCAGACTATATAATACTGTCTGTGCTAGAAGCTTTGCATGAGGTTATTCTTTACATCAGAACTTATGTTGTTTCTTCTTCTTTCTCTTATTTTTTTGTGTGGGGTAAAATGTTTAAGTTCGATCTATTTGGATAAAAGAGAAAGTGATACTTAATTTGTTATCTCACGCAGGAGCCTATGACAGAAGTATGTGCATTCATGTTGGCTGAATTGAATAATTGCATGCAGGTTTGGTCATGTCTAAGACAGTTCTTTAATATTCAACTTCTAGTATCAAGGCAAGAAATAGCAAATAGTGGAAGAAATTGAGTTAGAATGGAAAAATAGGATTTTCAGTTATGGTTCTGTTTCTTCTTTCAGATTAGTCCACCACTTCTCATTGAAGGTCAGCTCCGTAGAATAGTGGATGAGGTAAAGCATGTCATAACAGAGAGTTCAAGTAGAAGAAGAAAACTCAAAGAGAGAACGCAAAATCAGAAGACTTTGATGCTGAGGAAGGTGAATTACTGGGGGAGGAAAAAGAGCTTGAAACTGAAATTTTTGTCCAGCTATGTTCCCTTTTAAGAATGAAGTTCCGATATAAGTGACACTGTTATACTCTTTATGCAAGTCTTTCACTTTTGTTCTATTCTCAAATAACTTAAAGCTTTTTTGTCAGGTAGGCACCGTAGTGGGTACATTGATCAAAATATTCAAGGCTGGTTTCTTGCCTTTCTTATTTGACGAGTTGTCACCATATCTAATACCTATGTGGGTAAGTTCACGACGACCGAGGGCTCGCGTGGAGGCGGCATTGCGACCACGGGCTTGGACACTATTCGATTCGAGCTATAGAGAAAGGCGCAATTAGACCAAGGATTAGGCAATTGAGTTTCAGTAAAGGGAGGAAAGAGCTAGGTCTCGTATAGAAGAAGAGATTTTTTCGCAACTATTATATGACCACTTACGCATTGTTACGTGAATATGCCTTTACTTGATGAAAGGCGCCCTGTAAAATGCGCTATATCGACAAGGCGAGGAGAAAGCAGCCAATTTTTTTCTAGTTGCACCCACGACAAAATATCCGGAATATATATACGTCTTTTTGGGGGTGTAGAGGGATCTCTGGCACAGACTTCCTTCTTTATGCTCATAGGCTTAACCAACCTAGAGGTCCCGTCCCACAGGTTAGTGAAGGTGGAAGTCCAAAGCTTAATAAGGTGGAAGGCGAAGCCGTTGTTACCCGAACACTAGTTTGTTATCCATTTATATATCTTATTGGTTGTCTTTTTAATATTTCTATGAAGGACGAAGATAAAACAATTCAAGAGAGATGTACATCAATTTATATCTTTGATTATCTGGTCGTGAAGTGCCCTGAAGAGGCTCTAAAGTGGGTTTGTGTGTGAGTTTTTCTTAAATGGCCGGCATCACCATTTTGATAAATTACTTCCACTACAACAAATGTGATTTTTAACAACGAAATTATTAGCTACGATAGAAAATTCGTCACTAATTATTCACTTTTTGTGACAAAAATTACATTTCGTACTTAAATCCATGAGTCATATACTTTTTGTGGCGAAACACAAACTTCGTAGCAAAAATTTTGTCTACTAAGGTTTTCCACCAAAAGCATGGGTTGGCCCCAATTATTGAGAAATATTAGCGACAAAAATAAATTATCAGTGACAAATTAGTTTCGTCATTGATGCTGCAAAAGTTTTGTGACAAACCATCATTTGTCTAAAAAATAGTTAAAGTTTGGATACAAAAAAGTTTCGTCACTAACAATACGTTGTTAAAATAGCAACGAAATAAAATTTGTAGTTAAATCGTACAACTTTTGACATAAATTTTATATTCCTTTGTGACTTTAGCTTTTGTCACTAATAATATACACAGCCAGTGATAATATATGTAGGCAATTTGTGACAAAATTATTTGTCTCAACTTTAATTAAAGTTTGGATGCGAGAAAAGTTCCGTCACTAAAATATTTATTGTTAAAATAGTGACAAAATAGAATCTGTAGTTAATAGGTACATTTTTTAGCCATAAAATTTTGTATTTATTGTGACTTCAGTTTTTATCACTAATAATATAAACAATTAGTGATAAAATATATAAGACAATAAGCGACAATCATTATTTGTCTCAAAGTTAGTTAATCCTTGGATACGAAAAAGTTTCGTCACTAAAAATATATTAGTGAGATAACGAAAAAATAAATTTTTTGATTAAATAATACACACTTTAGCCACAAAACTTTATATTTATTTGTGACTTTAGTTTTCGACACTAATAGGACAAAAGTTAGAACTAAAAGCTTTTCATAAAAATGTACAATTTGTAAAAAGAAAAAAATGTACTTTTTGTCAACCATGGATATTTAACTTTTTAACTGATAAAAATATATTTAAAAAATCTATGAAATATACACTAAAATTTTGAATTAAATAGAATAATGTGTTGAAAATTATATCATAAATCCTAAAAGTTATATATGAAATATGACAAATTTTTATAAAATACCATGATGTATGAATCAACTATAAAGTCATAACAACCCAACTATAAAAATAAAAATGTGATCTTGAAAATGAAATGTACTACTATACAACTTGAGAAGTAAATGAATCAAGAAACATTTTATAAAAATAAAAATTTATCTCTAAAGATTACTCATTTTATTATTAAACTATTATTGTTTGAGATGCAACAAAATTTCATATAAGTTGAAAAATGAATTTTGTTGTTATATATAAAAATAAATCACAATTATATAATACAACTCCAACATTGTGTGCTTTCAAAAAATTAACAAAATTAAGAAATAATTCACAGTACTATTATTTTTCTTGAACTGAGGGACTATTAGAAATATTCTCTCTATCTTCTCAAGGTAGGAGTATGGCTTTGGTAAACACTATCATCCCAAGACCCCACTTGTAGAATTACAATAGGTTTATTATTGTTCACAATACTATTATTCATCACCAAAAGAGATGATAAATATTGTTTGAACCATCTATATCTATATCTATATATTATTAAAAGGAGTGAAAAAAGCCTCCACATTAAGCCAAGTGGCAACCTCACAATAGGCCACTTGGCAATTTAGGACAAAGTTAGTTAGGTTAGATAATAATTAGTTTTCTTTTTTAGTTTAAATTTTAAAAAATTTAAATTATGCATTATGTGTTGTTAATAATTAGTTAATCTCTTTGAATTGACAAATTTGGAGTTTTAAAACTATTCTAAAATAAAAAACAAAAATAAGAAAAAGAAAGCTGCCAATTCAAATTGGGGAGAAGTTTCTTCCTAATATGGTAGTCTATATATATAAAATACTACGAATATTTTCTTATATAAAAAATAATTTAATTTCGAATTTAAAGATAAAAATATTATTTCGAATTTATAGATAGAAATATTTGAGTTGAGATAAAATAAAAGTTCATTTGCTTATGACAAATAATGCAAAAATAGCAATAGCAATTATTAAGAATATCAGTAAATTTATGAGAAAATAGTAAAATTACTTATCTGTTTATATTTTTTTAAAATTCAAAATTATAATTTGATTTAAATATGATAGTATTTTGATTATATGTAAAATTAAAAATGAAAAAAAAACTAATCTATAATATTAATAAAATGAGATGTTGTTAATAAAATGAGATTTAAAAGATAAGAATATTTCCAGATTAAGAATAAATATATATGTGTGTGTGTGTGTGTGTGTGTGTGTGTTATATTAAAAGAGAATTATCATCAAAATATTAAGCCAAATGATAAGTTAATAAAAGTCATATTAGTAAATGTATAGTACTAAGTACTTGCTAATTTAATAAAGAATAAATAAGGAACAAACTTAATTTATTTAATTAATATATGATGTGTATCCTTTAATTTTTGTTATATTTCTGTACACTACAATAAATAATAACATAACAATTAATATTTATTAAAATAATATAATATATTATGTAATAACTTTTAAAGATTTATATTCTTTCAAATTATCCGCACATATCATGGATACTAAAATCTATATTTATATATTATTAAAAGAATAGAAAAAAGCCTCCACATTAAGTCAAGCGGCAACCTCACAATAGGTCACTTGGCAATTTAACATAAAATTAGTTAGGTTAGGTAATAATTAGTTTTCTTTTTGAATTTAAATTTTTTAAAATTTTAATTATGCATTATGTGTTGTTAATAATTAGTTACTCTCTTTGAGTTAACAAATTTGGAGCTTTAAAGAAAAATATAGAACAAAAATATTATTCAATAACTATATAAGTCCCTTTAATTTAACTAATATCTATAAACGTGCGTTGCACGTTAATAATGGCACATGATGATTTAAATATTTATTTATATGAAGGAACAATAAATTTAATTAATGAGAGAAATGTTATATATAATACTACAACATTTATCTAAATGCTGAAAAATATTGTTAGATTAACATAATACGTGAATTCAAAATGAAAGAATATCATCATAACTTACATAAATGATCAATTTTAGTCATGTTAAGTAGATAATTATGTATTGTAGTTTAAAAGTATCTAATATGATGGTATCTTATATAGTACTTCTTTATATACGGTATTTTTTTGTATATGTTTTCTTCTAATGCTTTGGTTACTCTGCGATAACCAGAACTCTTGTCGTCGATATTGATATCTCTCTTGAAAGTGCAACATATAGTTATTCATATAAGAAAACATATTGTGGTAAATATAGTTCAATATTTAGGATGTTTGTCCTTGTGCTTTATTTATTATAACTATAAAAACATAAACATACTGAAATTTATTTTCACACAAATTTGAAAGGATATTCTTTAGTTTCGGAAGACAAAAGTTGAATTCGGGGATAAACACATACTTGGAAGCACATTAATCAGTATCATAAGTTCTGCATGTATGACGTTATTGTCAAAACTTCGATATACCATATGTGTACTATTACATAAGTTATTCAGCGGATCTAAGTTTTCAGTAGCATGACAAGCATATTTTTCTTCAAAATCAACCTATATGCAATGGAAGATCAATTTTAACTTAGTCTATTATATATATGGTGACACTAACATACATAAGAAATAATGAACTTGACAACAAATATGTATAGTAGAAGGCCATTTGGTATTAAAGTATTTAAGTATTCTTCTTGGTAGTTGTTGTTGGTATCATCTTCTGTTGAGTCAAAATTGAAAAATATTTTATTTTTACCATAAAACTTAACAATCAACCTTTTAGTTGATTAACATATTCATTTCTGCTAGCTAAGATAGCTCTTTAATTTCTATCATGTTATTTGTACAAATTGCGTTTTAATCTAATAATGAAAATATTTTCCTTATTAAATGCACTACTATTACCATTGGGGTTGATAACCAAGTGTTCTAGAAGAACCAAATCATCTTTTATTGGATGCTCTTCTTCGTTTCTGACACAAAGCAAGAAGTCATTGAATGTTGGATCTGTTCTTACTTTTATATTTCTTATCATTTAAATATTTTTCATTTGAGGTCATAAGTATAATTTTGATAAGCTGGCTTTTACAGTTTCTGCTTTGGTCAATTTTGGAACTGCTGATCGTACTTGACAGAAATCACCTCCCAAACTCTTACTTTTCCACCAAACGGTTCATCGATATCCAATATATCTCTAAAACTCTGTGCGATTGTTTTGATCGTTTGACGCTTAGTCAAAAGCGCTTCATCCCATATTATCACTTTTGCTTTCCTTATAAATTTAGCACTACTGCTCTGATTTGATATATTTGTGATGGTTATTTCAGTTATTTGAAGAGGTATATCAAATCTAAAGTGAGTTGGACGACCTCATAATAAAATCATTATTGGTACACCACTTGTTCTTATTGTTAACAATATCATGCCTCTTGATATGACATTTACAAGTAATGCATGACATATGAATATTATTTCGATTCCGTCGAAGGCATTTACAAAGGATAATCCCGCTATACCGCAGTCGATTTTTTATAATATAGTCATAAAAACTTATTCTTGTTCAGTATTTAGCTTTGATTGTGCTTCCTCAAACACTTGTATGACCTTCTTAATATTATACTAATCTTTTTTTACTTTGTGATCTATTTTTTAAAATCTCTAACATTCTTTTTATGGAATAAATTTATGCACCCGATGATTTGTTTTTTAACTTGAAAAATATTTTTACTCATATGATGAATTTTAAAGATAATTTAATTGGATTCTCTTGGTAAATAATTAATTAAAAGATTTGATTATTTGGTTTTAACATAAAATATAATTTATTTTCTGGTGATTTAGATTCTTAATATTAGTTCATCTCATGTTTGAATATTTAACCGTGATTATAATTTTATCCACCATAAATTTTATTTTTAAAGAGTAAAGAGATCGATGACATTCCACTTTTAGATCTTTATGTTTGCAAAATCATTAGTGGTATTGGCTCTTACCAATCTTTTTATTTCTTTTCTCACATATTTATATTCCTTAAAAATTTTCTTAGTTGTTCTTTAATAATTGGGTATATTTTTATATATTACACGAAAAACTAATAATAATAAAATATTATTTGAGTAGGAAAATAATTCAAATATAATATAATAATATATTATCTTGGGGATTTTTTTCAATTTCAAAGCTTTATGCAGTCCGTTTAGCATTACTTATTTTTTTTGGTATTGAATATTATAGAGTGGTAATGTATTACCAATATGGAGGATTCTTATGAAATTGATTTCATTAAACATTCCTACATATTTTTAATAAGAATTCAATAGACAAGATTGTATTAATTTTAAAATTTTTAATATTAAAAAATTAACATATAAGTTATTATAGTCCAAAAAAATAAGTTATTACAGCTATGTCCTTTCCCTATGAGTTCTTCTGTTTAATATTTTAGGGCTATTTTGGTCTATCAATATTATATTTGTGCTTTTATAATAATATATAGGCTCTCATGTTTCTAAATGGATTTGGACAATAATATAATACCTTTTCAAATTAAATTAGTAATAGGAATGTTTTCAGAAGTATATCCTAAAAGTAATAGGATTACAAGGCTAATATCTATGCCCGAAAATAATTATACTAATAGGACTCCTAACGTGTAGTATTATGTCCTAAAACTAATAGGATTACAAGGCTAATGTCTAGAATTCCGATTATGTCCTTTTATTGTGAGTTATTATGCTTAATATTAAAAGGTTATTTTTATAATCCAACATTATATTCATGCTTTTATAATAATATACATAATAATTTTATTATTAGGTATATCGTATTGACAAATATGATGACAATTGAAAATTTTAAAGCAATACGATCTAATATGTTCAAATAAGCCTGATCACAATTTAATTTAATTATTATTTTTTAATAATGACCGCGCATCGTGCGGGTATGACTATTACTGTATCCTTTAAAATATTGTGTTATACATAAACACATAATCTATTTGTTTTTTTAAATTATAATATTTTATTATATAGAAATTTCTTATTTTTTTTATTTTGCTTATTTATTGTTCCACTCTAAACTATCATAAATTCACTTAGTTGGAAGATCATTTATCTTGATGCATGATTCTTATTATATAAGAGGTTTAAATCTCTTACAAAAATATAGGGAATAAGGGGAGTATATCGTAATTAAGCGATCATAAAGTTTTAGGATTTTCATAGTACATGAAGTATAAGTGTTTGATACCGAAATACAAGGGGGGAGTGATGTATATATATTTGTTACTGATTCGTTATATTTGTATAAGATTTTCATAGTATAAGGAGTGTAAGTGTTTGATTTAAAATACAAGAGATATAGTTGCAACTGAGTCATATTACAAAGGTGTATCTAATTTCTCCTAAGGTTTAATAATTAAAAAAATTCTAAGATTATTTTCTAAATATATTTTTAAATTGAAAAAGAAAAGAGGAAAAGTCTTTGAAAATAAATGATACTTTCTTCTATTTTTCATAATGTTAGGTTCAACTAAACAATCTAAGGAATTTTTAAATAAAAAAAAAATCTAAGGAACTTTTGATTTTTTTTTTTGCTGTATTCTTTTTTTAGAAAACATAATGTTTGATTTTCTTAAAATTAAAAGAATTTTAAAAGGGAATTACATAAAAGTATTGTTCTAAGGCTTCATGCAAAATATAGAGATTTCTGCCTTAGCGTATAATTTTGAATAGAATTTGAAAAATGATTTTTTTACTTTATGTAGTTCTTTTTTGATTCTTTGACCAATTTAAATTTATTTTCGTCAAATAAATAGAAATGCTAGATAAGTAAGAATAACAAAGTGGACGAGATAATCGGCTCATTTTCTTGTTAAGATCCCTAAACTTACGGAAATGAAACTGAAATTAATCCACACTAACATCCATAAAGATACTCATCATTGATCAAATGCTCATTCCCACAAATTAAAATTGTAGACTGATTTACAGTTTCACATCTCCCGACTTCTCTCTCATGAAAAAGTGGCTCTGTTTCTTCAAACCTCTGCCACCATTGACGGTTTCACGAAAGATCTATAGGTTGGTCTTTGGGGACGAAATAACAAGTTTGTCGCTAATGTAACGTCATTTAGCGACGAACCACTAAATCGTCTTTGTAAACTTTTAGTGACCCATTTATGGCTACGAAGAATTGACGAAAAACATTTGGTCAGAAAAAATATTTAGTGACGAAATAAAGCCTTTTAGTGAGAAAAATATTTGTCGATATAAATCAAATTTGTTGTAGTGTTCCTATGTCAACTAGGTACAGTGATGTGTTTCTTCCTTTAGTTTTGGATACAAGCAATGACGAAATCCCAAAAGTTAGACAGGTTAGCTTATCTTAGTGGTTGCTGATATGTTTTTTATTCAAGTTGCTCATAACATGTGTAATATGGCCATTAATTTGGCTTCTTTTCAAATGGGGCCAAATTTTCATGACATTGCCATGATATAATATCCACAATAACAAAATTTGTGGATCAAATTTTTATGACATTTGTCATGACATAATATCCACTATAACAAAATTTGTGGATCAAGTTTTCATGATATTTGCCATGACATAATATCCACTATTAGGCCAAGGATTTCTTGCTATAAATAGAGGAGCTTCTTCTCATTTGTAAACACACCAATTCAAGAGCTTTTCTCTCTTATCTTTCTTTCTCCTCCTTTATTTCATTATAGAGTATTTTGTAAGAGAGTGAGTATTGGGAAACACTTGTGTGAACCCTTTCTTTGGAGTGATCTTGTAAGGTTATTCTCTTGGGGTATTTGGGACTAATTAGAGTATTTACTCTAATTTTGTACTCTCTTTTGTACTCTTGTTGGTATAGTAAAATTGCTCTTCTCCGTTTGTAGACATAGGTCACCTTGACCGAACCACGTTAAATTTGTGTCTTATTTATCTTCTTTAATTGTCGTTATTATCAACTTGTATTGTCCTTGTTTTTGTCGTTATAACATTATTTGGCTAAATTCCGCACTACCCGATTTCCCGATGATTTGACCAAACACTGTTGATGTCGTGTTCAGAATGCTCTTTATGGACTTGCCCTTTATGCGGTATATGGTGGTTATGTATTCAAACCTTTTATTACAGGTAAAATACTGTTGAATATGATATTTAGATCATTTCTTGAGCTAGACAAAAAATAAATATAATTTGTAAGTAAACCAGAAAAATCCGTAGAAATCTCTACCTATAATTGTGCTATTTATATTACATGACTCATGAGTAAGTGTATATGTACATTGGTATGAGAACATGTCTATGTACTCATAAGAGGTATTTACATGTCAAGTAATTCTATCTCAGAAAAATTAAATCAGAAAAATCTCTACCTGTAAATTATAATTTTGCTATGTATTTTTACATGAGAATATGCCTATGTACACTCTGTAGCAATATTTTATTTATTTACTAAATCTCCGGACATGATTCAGAGGCTATTTCAAGGATCAATGTAGTGATAACTCATTTACGTGCTCATGAGCGTGAGAATGAATCTGTATATTGTACTGCTGTTTTGGCACTTAGCAAGATATGTCAGTTTCACTTGGAAAGTATTGACTCATCAGCTCAGGTGTTTCCTCCTACAAAACTCTGAAGTTATTCTTTTAATGCCTTCAGTTTATATATGTTTGAGTTGGAATTTCGAAATTATATGTCTTTGCTGCGTCCTTTATTTCATGCGCATCAAATAGTTTTAAACCTGCAATTTTTTTTTGCTTTGGGTCGGTCATCTTATTATTTTGCTATAGTTGCTGTTTCTTTTCTCCAGTATTTTCAAATGGCTTCTTCACTACTGTTTATGGCTTCTTCACTACTGTTTTTTCCAAACTTGCTTTGTTGTTTTTATCGCCGAGGGTCTATCGGAGGTAGGGGTAAGGTCTACGTATACATTACCTTCCCCAAACACACTTGTGGAATTACGTTGAGTATGTTATTATTGTAGTTGATTGATAGATCTGCCGATATGACCGTCTCATTTTTATCGGACAAAATTTATTTTCAGTAGTTGACTGTTGTTTCTTCTGTAGGTTATATGTTCTGAAGAGGAACTTGCTACAGAAGAAACAACAAATCGCATGATTAATATATTGAGGTATCCGCAGCCATAGATTCCTCTTCCCTCAGGTAAATCTACTGCTGGTTGTCGTTGGGTTTATGCAGTCAAAGTTAGTCCCGATGGCAGATTGATCGACTTAAGGCCCGTCTTGTTGCCAAAGGATATACTCATATATTTGGGCTCGATTACAGTGATACCTTCTCTCCCGTGGCTAAAGTGGCTTCAGTCCGTCGTTTTCTATCCATGGATGCGGTTCGTCATTGGCCCCTCTATCAGCTGGACATTAAGAATGCCTTTCTTCACGGTGATCTTGAGGATGAGGTTTATATGGAGCAACCACCTGATTTTGTTGCTAAGGGGGAGTCTCGTGGCCTTGTATGTCGCTTGCGTCGGTCACATTATGGTCTAAAGCAGTCTCCTCGAGCCTGGTTTGATAAGTTCAGCACAGTTATCCAGGAGTTTGACATGACTCGTAGTGAAGCTGATCACTATGTATTTTATCGGCACTCTACTTCAAGTATCTGTATTTATCTGGTAGTCTATGTTGATGATATTATTATTACTGGCAATGATCAGGATGGTATTACCAATCTGAAGCAGCATCTCTTCCAGCACTTCCAAACTAAGGATCTAGGCAGATTGAAGTACTTTCTAGGTATTGAGGTTGCCCAGTCTAGCTCAGGTATAGTTATTTCTCAAAGAAAATATATTTTAGACATTCTTGAGGAGATAGAGATGATAGGTTGAAGACCTGTTGACAATCCGATGGATCCGAATTCTAAACTTATGCCAGGACAGGGGGAGCCGCTTAGCGATCCTGCAAGCTATAGGCAGCTGGTTGGAAAATTAAATTATCTCAGAGTGACTAGACCCGGCATTTTTTATCCTAAGAGTGTTGTGAGTCAGTTTATGAATTTTCCCTGTGATAGTCATTGGGATACAGTTGTCCGCGTTATTCGGTATATAAAATCGGCTCCAGGCAAAGGGTTACTGTTTGAGGATCGAGGTCATGAGCAGATCGTTAGATACTCAGATGCTGATTGGGCAGGATCACCTTCTGATAGACGTTCTACGTCTGGATATTTTGTTTTAGTAGGAAGTAATTTGGTGTCCTGGAAGAGCAAGAAATAGAATGTAGTTGCTCGGTCTAGTGCAAAAGCAGAATATCGAGCAATGGCTATGGCAACATGTGAACTAGTCTGGACCAAACAATTGCTCAAGGAGTTGAAATTTAGTGAAATCAGTCAGATGAAACTTGTGTGTGATAATAAAGCTGCCCTTCATATTGCATCAAATCCGGTGTTCAATGAGAGAACTAAACACATTGAGATTGATTGTCACTTTGTTAGAGAAAAGATACTTTCAGGAGAGATTGCTACAAAGTTTGTGAGGTCGAATGATCAACTTGCAGATATTTTCACCAAGTCTCTCACTAGTCCTCGTATTGGCTATATATGTAACAAGCTCGGTACATATGATTTGTATGCACCGGCTTGAGGGAGAGTGTTTGTTTACAGCTATGTATATAGTGTAGTTTTGTCCCACATTGGAATACGAGTAGTATGTCCTTGTATAGTATAGCTATAAATAATGACCTCTTGTATTGTATTGAAAATCCATATATCAATAGCATATTTTCTTCCGTGCTTTCTCACAGTCACCATATCTAATACCTATGTGGGTAAGTTCACGACATGATAACCGTTGTTATCCGAACACTAGTTTGTGAATTTTTCGCGCTTCGCGCGGTCATAAAAATAAATTAGTGAATTTTAAAAACGTATTTTATTATTTTATTTATATGAGTTTAATGCATTATACATATTAATATTATTTTTGGTTAGCTCCAACTCCCGTCATATTATCAGTTGCCCAAAAAATAATTTAAAGGCCAAAAGAAAAAAGTTATATTAAGACTACAACTATATATACTTAATAACTTTACATGTATACAATAGTAATAAATATTTTTTGGTAAAAAGTAACAAACATAAAGTAAAGCATATAGATAAAAACTTTGTTGTCCTTCTTCCTTGGTAAAATTGCGTTGTCATTATTGTCATTAGATTATGAAGCTTTTTTCCTTTGATAAATTAATTAATCTTTAAATCATCATAGAAAGTTATATATCCACCATGTATCATTATACTTCTTCAATGAAGGACGACCATAAGTAATTTATCCAATATAATTTCTCTTTCATTTCTCCATTACTAAAAGGAACAAAAGGAAAGTTTACTCACTTTAATCACTCTTTATATGTGAGTGATGTGATTCATGCAAAATGGAGGATGTGAAGGCAATTCACAATAGAGGATATATTAAGACAATCCCAATGTTACGTCACACTTTTCTCAAAGTGTTCGGCCACAAATTTCCAATTACAGAATCAAGTTGCTATATATTCTATCACTATTTTTCTTATTTATTTTTTCTCTTTTTCCTCTTTCTTTATTTCTTTCCGCTACATGTTAGCATAAAAATTTCAGTTATATGTGTATAAATATATTGAATTATGTAAAATCTACACTGTACACCTTTTTTTTTGTTGTATTTTTTTCAAATTCTCATGTATTAATGATAAAGGAAAGAGAAATGGAAAATACGCTTTAAAAAAAGGAAGAATAAGAAAAGGGGTGGAAATTAAAAAAAATGAAAGAAGAAGAAGAAGAAGACGACACAAATCCAGATTCTTTTTTCCATTTTGTTTCTCTTTTCTTCTTTTCTTCGGCCTCTCCTAAATTGTTGCTTTCTCACTCACTAAGACTGACTCTACTTTGCCTCTTCCTGATGTGAACTTCTTCTTTATAATATATCTTGCATGATTCAAATGATCTGTTGAAGAAAGTTCTTAAAATATAGAGGAGTTATAGGTCTAAATAAAAGTTAGATTATCATTATGCCTCACCAACAATAGCTCCTTTACTATATGTTAGAAAAAGTCGTGTAATCTTTGGCGTAAAACTTATAATCCAAGAAGCAAAGAAAAGGAAAAAGAGAATTTGATACGCTTCATCGACGGCACGTGAATTTAATCCAAAAATTGACACAAAATTTCAATAAAAACCCATGTTTTTTTTTTCGTGAACCATTGGGATTATTCTTCAATAAGAGGAGTGGTGCCTTTTCAGTGAGACCGTTTGGGTTTTGTTAAGGGGAAAAAATAGAACCCCTAAAAAAAAGGAGATTAAAGATAAATGAAATTTCTAGCTTCTTAAAGGTGCCACATCACACTTCTAGGTCCCTGCTTTATATTAATATATAAAGTTTTCCTGAACCGTTGGGATTCTTCAATAAGAGGAGTGGTGCCTTTTCACTAAGACCGTTTGGCTTTTGTTAAGGGGAAAAAAATAGAACCCCTAAAAAAAAGGGAGATTAAAGATAAATGAAATTCCTAGCTTCTTATAGGTGCCACATAATGTTTCTATGAAGGGCGAAGATAAAACAGTTCAAGAGAGATGTACATTTCGGTAACTTTCCTCTTTTATACCACGTATTTATTGGTTACTATTATGTTTCCTCAACTAAATAATTTTCTTTGACTTATCACAAGTTGATGTAAAAGAATGAGGTTTTGAGTACTTAAATATGTAAGTCAATGTATATTTTACAAAATTAGATTGATGTTATAAATAAAACGGGAAGCTAACTAAAGCACAGAAAAATGGAGCGAGACTGATATATTATTTCACTTAAAATCGTATAAAATGCATTAACTTAACTTCTTTTTTTGTAAAAGAAAAAAAAAACTAATTGCAAGCCTCTTTAGTGAGCTCCTTGCGACCATTCGCGGAGTCAGAATTTCTATTAAGGAGTGTAAAATATATAAAAGTAAACTAACGAAAAAATCAAAGAGAATCAACATATATTATATATGCATATAAAAAATAATTTTACCTACCTACACAATTTATTTTTCCACGAAAGGATGTTAGTTGACATCCCTTGCTATAAGGTGGCTCCGCCACTACTTGCAAGCTATTTACATAATTACTCGCGAGTATGGGTGCTTATCGAGCGGATTGCGTGAATAATTACGCTTAACGGTTTGGCTTATCGGTTATCGGATTATAAATATAGTAATCTGCTAGCCATCTAATAAGACAACGGGCGAATTGGTATCTGATTAACGATTATCGGGTGGTTTATCGGCTAAATTCCGCACTACCCGGTTTACCGATCCTAACAATATGATTTGACCAAACACAGTTGATGTCGTGTTCAGAATGCTCTTTATGGACTTGCCCTTTATGCGGTATATGGTGGTTCTTGTCACGACCCAAACTAACCTCTGTCGTGATGGCGCCTATTGTGGAACTAGGCAAGCCGATTTATTTCCAAAACAAACCGATATTTTCATTTCAAAGAAAATTTCAAAGTTATTTAACATAAAACCTCCATTTAAAGAGTTCAAATCAAAAAAAAATAGAAGTGCGGAAAAGAAAAGCCCGACATCGGGGTGTCACTAGTCATGAGCATCTACTACAATCTATCTAACAATATCAAGGCTAACTCAACCTGAAAAATAGCTAAATACAACTAGAGAAAGATAAGAGGGAGAAGAGCAGGGGTTGTGATCGCAAAATAGCTACCTTGCTATCTCCAAAAAAAACAATCTGCAACCAGAACACTCAATAACTGCTACCGTGTCCAGCTACACCTGAATCTGCACACAAGGTGCAGGGAGTAACGTGAGTACGCCAACTCAGTAAGTAACAACAATAAATAAAGACTGAGCAGTAGTGACGAGCAATAAAGCATATAACGTTCATATCATGAAATCTCAGTAAAGTACAACATGCTTTAAAAATCAGTGTTTGAATCGAATCATCTCGTTTAAACCCGGTTCCAGTAAAAATTATTTAAAGATATTTTTTGTTTCCAACAGTTTTTCAAACAAAAGGCTCAATGTAAAGCTGAGCAAAAATGATAAAATCATAAACAGCCCCTCGGACAAAACATCACTCATAAATAGCCCCTCGGGCAAACCTCACAGACACTTGTGCCACTCGGGCATACCTCACAATCACTCTTGCCACTCGGGCATACCTT